CAGGTAAGTTAAGTTTGAGACCCCTGACGTTCACAAGAGTTGCAAGAGCACAAAATGAGCTTAGCATTTTTTTTGTTTTTTTGGTTTGGTGCAGCAGGATCTACTGGCCAGCGCAGAGTCCTGATCTCAACCCCATCTCACACCTTTGGGACACGCTGGCAAGTGTGAGCCGACACAAAGTGTGAACCTGGCTGTTATCACAACATCAGCAGGGCGCATGACTAATGCCCCTCTGGCTGTATGGGAACAAATTCCAGCAACCGGCTTTCAAAATCAAGACACTATTGCAGCAGCATGTTTAACAGGATTGGATTGCATTTGACATCTGTCAGCATATTTTGTTCAAATGTCTGCATACCTTTAGCCACATAAAGTTTGTATTGTGAAAGCTTGATATCTGTAAAACGGTCAGATTGTTTTCTATCACAGTTGGTTGCATTCTTGGCACTGTGACTCAGTGTCAAACAGTTTCACATAAATCACTGAAAAACTTGCATTCGTCACCAGCATTAGCTAAAGAGAAAATCCATCCTGTGTCCTCAGTGAGTAAGTGATCACGGTATGGTAGGAAGGGCATTTTTAGAGCAGATCTGTCAACAGGAAACTGATGATGTTTGAAGTTCCACTGGTTATCTCCTCTTAAAATATGGCCTTTCCATACATTTCTACTTCAAAGTGTGTTCTTACGTAAGTGCATACCTTGTTGTTCTTACCTGTTTGTCAGCGTGAAGCTTTCTGCGGCTCCTCCTAGGACAGAGGCGCTCATGAGAGTGTGGAAATAGTCTGGATCAGTAGATTATTTATGAGCGTGCCTTTAGCCCAGAGTTCTTCACTGGTGCCAGTGCAAGAAATTTACTGTGTCTGCAGCAGACTGAATGCTTATTGCGTCGTTGGAATACCAGATAGATTACAGAAGAAGGCGGACAGTGAGGTCGAAATAAGGAAAAGAAATGACAAAGAAGCATTTCATTTGTTGGAGAGCAACAGTAAATGTATGAGAAGCAAATAAGAAACTCATTTGCATATAAAATCTCGAGCGTAGTGATGCTTCAAAACGAAAACAGAGGAGAATGAAAGAAACAGACAGGAATGTAAAATTGATGAAGTAAATGTAATGCCGTAGCTTTTGTTTTATTCAGAGTCATATTCCACGGTGTAATAACTCCAGCTGTGCTCGTATAAAACACAGCTTTGGTGTTTTATTATATAAGCTTTTGGTGGACCTCTGAGGCCTAGAAGGAGATGAGCGGCATACTAAACAGACACTGAGAGGACCACCTATACATCTCTTTGAAGGCACATTATGCACGCAATGGACAAGACTACCACTTTTCAGGATTCTTTCAATTGATTTCAGTGTTCAATGTCAGACATATTGCATTTGCTTCACATGAAATAACATCTTTCGCAGGGTAGCCCACCCAATATCCAGAAGCATCTGGGCCAGACTAGAACAAGGCTTTGTTGAAACAGTAATACTGAACATGACTGCATTTGACAGGCAAAAACCAAACCATACAACCGTGATGCTGATTGATATTTTACTGGTTGTCACCCAGCTTGTTTGAGCGCTAATAGCAGCTGATAAACTTTGACGCTAACTACTGATCTTAATTTTAAAATTTAGTCACGATCACTCAACACGGAAGCACAAACATTAAACAATCACAACCACAGCCTGTTTTCTAGCACAGTAAATCATGGCTGTGTGTGAGTGTGTGTGTGTGTGTGTGTGTGTGTGTGTGTGTGTGTGCACAACATGCTTCTCACACCTGAATGGTTCCTCCTGTGAGGGAGGGATGGAAAATTTTCACCTTTTTCTCCACAGGGCATCAGCTTATCTCCTCCCCTACCTGACATCAGAACACAATGTACACTATACTGTACCCTACACACAATGAGGACATTACTGTAAAGCTATTGTGTTTTAGTTAAAGTACACCACTCCAAATACAACTTCAATTATCCACAAGAGCAAAATGTCAGGAAAAAATGAGAGGGAGCATTGCAGTAGTCTGTGCAGTTTCCAGACATTGTGTGCTGCTATAATAAGAAAAACATCATTTAAGTCGGTGGAAATACAGCAGTACATAAAAAAAGAGGGTCAAGCCTTTGCTTCTGTGGAAGATGTGGTTTTATAAATGATGTCAGTGTATCTGGCTGAAGTGTGGTATGCAGCTGTGGCACAAGGCCATTTTCTTGTTGTGAAAGTATTTCCTATGGAGCCTCTCCTACTTAGCGTAGTTCCTTTATCATGTCTATATATGGTGTGTGGCGAAACAAGCCATCTCGTTTTTCTCTCTTCTTCTCATAAACACAAACCTTTTTCTGACAGTGGAAACTTCTACTGAGAACTCAGGACTAAGGCTGCCATCTCTATCAATATTTTAGGACGCCTTTGTGAATTATTACAAAAGCTCAAAAATGATGTAATCACATGTGAAGCCTTTACTTAAATTTAGATGCATGTGTGCACCTTTAACCTCTGACCTGACTGGGTTGACATGTGCGTTCATTAAAATTCCAGCAACAGACGTCAGAACATATTAACATCACGCTGCAGCAATAGAACTGTGTGTTAGAATAAAAAATATTACATAAAGAAATACATTTTAAGAAAGGAAAGGCTGTGGGAAATGAAAAAATAAGGAAATGAGGAAAAGAAAAGTCTGTATCTGACCCCTGCCACACCTGGTTCAACCTTGGAATTTATACGAAGCAGCTCGTTTAGCAGGGATTTAGGGTAAAAGATGGTTAAGAGGACGAATGCAACACCTGTGGTCAAAGAAACAGGGATGCCGCCTTGGTTAGCTGTGAGAATTGACACCTCAAAGCAGCATAATGAATTTTCCAGAGGGTCAAAGATCATTTATCTAATGAATTATTCAGGTCTGGTGGTCACTGAGACCAGGACATGACTGGACCCTACACTGGGGCCTGAGTCAGCATCTCATCGGGCAGCATTTCTCTTGAATGACTCACATAAATTATTCAAAGCCGAAATCATGAAACCTATTTGTGTGCATCGACGTGGCCCCGTTATTAGACCCAAAGGACGCACTCTGGCTGAGGTGAGAGAAGCGGCGCAGGTGGAATGAAAACGCCGGTGGGTCTGCAGTCTAATAATGTCAGAGGCTTGAGGGAGAGAACAATCAGAATGTCATCATCACACGAACACAGCAGTTATGTAAGCAGCTGTTGTTACACAGCATGACAATGTTGCCTGATTACCACTGCTTGGTAATTATGCAAACAGCCTCATGCAATTTGCTGATACCCATGCTGTGTTTTCTATTTTTTCCTCCTCTCTCACTCTCTCTCTACATGTGACAGGATACACACCCATGCCAGAAGTTAACTTCGCCGTGAAATGATTGACGTTGATGCATCTCAGTTAAATAAAATCCAGAAAAGACAAATGCGCCACACCGCAGTCCCTTTAAACGTCTTAATTTCCCGCTTCACCACTTACTGACAATGGATGTTTGAATCTCCCTTTATCTGCGTTCTGTGGAATTATGTGATGTTCCACTCGGAGCAAGCCGCCAAGCAGCTCTAATCATAGAATTAAATTGGAGTCGCACAGCAGGTTTTCACTGACTGGCCATATGGATTCACACTTGAAAGTATTAAGCTGGTTTGCGGAGCAGCTACAAAGCGTCGGGGAGCCTTCGGCACAAGCGTCAGTCAGCAAAGCTTGACTCGTTTTAACTGTGGGCCAGCAGAGCTCGGTCATCGCTCCCCGAGGGTTAACATGAAGATTAAGCAGGATCATGTTCCAAATCTGACACCGAGCCCCTGCGGTACATCACCCACACAACATACACATGTGTACATACACAGCACGCACAACACCTACCTGCTCACGCACAGCGTTTTAATTTAAGCCACTTGATTCATTGGCATTCTAATGAAAGTGTCAGATGTTACTTTTAATCACGTGGTGCCATTATCAGCTATTTAATTCCCTTAAAGAAAGATTAGGAGGCTTAGGCGATGGACTCTGGAGCCTCTGGCTTTAATTAGATTCCAATTGGTTTATATTTTCCAGAGAACAAATACCAGTGTCATTTAGGGAGGAAGTAAAGAGATGGCAGCCTGATCATATACCGGCATTTGTTGACCAATTTACTTTACAACATAAACAGAACAGCAGGTGTATGATGAAAATAGAGCCATACTTAAATATGCATGAGTGTACATGATCATATATAGTGTTGAAGTGTGAGGATGTTTTTTTAATGATCATACACTTTAAAGAATATTTGGCTCTTTACATTAAATTCCTGCCAAGTTTTAACAGCTAATCCATGGAAAACCAATCACATAGCTGCATTAAGTTTGTATCGTAAGGGGGTGTAACTAACAATAAAAACAACAACAAAAAAAGTCCAATTTGCTCCATTTTCTACAGCTTTCGTTTGTGCATGGAATCTTTTATTGTCTGCTCACTGGCGTTCGTCCAGCTCTTACTTGATACAGTAATGCAGATTACAGTTGTTTTATTTATTACAGTTGTTTTGTTTATTTTATTTTATTTACAGTTGTTTTATTTATTTATTTTATTTTATTCACCTATTTTATTTGTATTTTTTTTAAATAGTACTGTCTGCTGCTGTACCACAGTAATTTCCCAGACTGGGATAAATAAAGTATTTTTCTATTCTATTCTATTCTATTCTTCTATTGATGCACCTTTTGTTGCTTCAAGCTCCAACTCCGCCCCTTCATAAACAGAGTCGGGTGCGGCGTCAGACTGCAAGGACACATCCTGAGCCCTGTCTGCAATGGCGACAGCCACAGCCCAGCGCATAGATCTGCTTCATGAATGGGAACCAACAGCAGCTCTTTGACAAAGGAGATGCTCAGCTGGCCAATCAGATGTGCACCTTGAGACGTGCACCGCTCAGCAGCCAGACACACATTAAAATTAAATAAAGGCTTATTTTTAGAGATTACATTGGATGAACGTTAGCCCAAGGAACCCACAGAACGCTTTGTTTCCATCACAAATGCTTTTATTAACCATCGTTTTAACAAAATATGGGTTAGAACCTAAACAGAAAAGTAAAAAGGTGTTTTTCAGCCGTACATGCAAATATGGTGAAAATTCACAGTGCAGATGTTACAAAAAAAAAGGGTTGCATAGGAATTACAGAAAACAAAAACCTCACTGACAAGAAAGCAAAGAAAAAAAAAACAGACATAAGTGACTTTACATAGTGAGAAAAAAGGAGTATTACAATAAGACAAAGAATGGAAAACATTTTCGTTTAGTAGCTATTCACAGAACAAGCTTTCACATCACAACCCCGTTCCCTCGTCTCAGTGCATCAGACCTGCTTTGACCGAGTCCGCTCAGTCACAGCTACAATCATAAGTCGCTCATGCAAAAAGTTATCAATCACCAAAGTGTAGCTCTGTGCCGATATGTCGCTCATCACTGTCCAGAGTCGACATGCTCTGCAATCGCATTATCGCTGAACAAACAAGCACCTGCTATCTTCCTCTTCTCTTACACCTCCTTCCCTCCCAAAGTGAACTCTCAGCTTAGTAAGGCAGCGTACACCTGTAGCTGTGCACACAATAGATACAGTTCATTCGGCTACACTGCTCACATTTTGGTAAATCTACGTCTTCTTGTTAAAACGTTTTCAATTCTAACACTAGCCTTATTTGTTCTCGAAGACAGCTTTAATTAAGTTAAGTGTGCTTTAAGGAGTTTGGTTTAATAAATAATTTTTTAGAACTTCACAAACTTGGACCGTTCATACCTTCTCTATTCTGCTTTTAAAATGCTTCAAAACACACAGAACACAGAACAGTAATAGGAAGACATTCAATATGAAACATTAACACATGTACATACATACGTATCTATATATCAGTGAGTTCGGATGCAAACGGTTATGTATACATCGAGGTGAGAATCGAATCAGACCAGAAGCCCTTCATTGTTTTCATGGCATAGGGATGCACCAAAGCCAGCAGCGGTGTGTTCTATCAGACTAAAACTGAGTACGTTGTTGTCCAATAGAACAGATCTGGTATTGATGCATCTCTATGTACCCGCACCAGCCACCTCAGCCAGGTAAATTCGTGCTTTCTGGTACAGCACTGCATGAATGCTTGAATGTTTACATAGACCAGAGCAGACAAAATGCAAATACTCAGTGATTTATCAACATAACATACAGTAGGCTCTGCCATGACCATGCTTTTTTTTATAAGTATGTAAATGAAGAGATGAGAGAAAGCTCAGTGAAATGGTAGCAAATGTGATCTGATGGCTCTCTCATCTCATCAGAACTAATTTAACATCATCGCAGTCCTCGTGTCATATTTGGAGACAAACAGGACTGATGGATTCACAGTGGAGCTGCTCCAAAAAATACTAAGTGGTTACAGGAATGGTCCACATCCCGACCTGATGGCCTCATTAAACGGAGAGCTTCTCTCTGAGGCCACGGTGATGTAAACAAAGTCAAAAGTGATGTTCAGGCGGAGGATTAAAAGCACCCTGCCTGTTGTTGCTCTAGTTGCTGGAGTCTCAACTTTCTGCTCACTGACTAAAAAAAAAGAACAGGAGTGGGTTTGGAAGACGACTCACCACTAAATTAATCAAAAACATACAGATGCAAGAGGAGTGGCTGGTTGTATAACATCAGTCGAGGTGTCTGGTATAGAAATAAAGCAACAACAAGACGGTTGGAGTGCCAGGGAGGTGGTTCGAGCCATTTTGGTCATGTGTGAGGAGCAGTACTATTCTTGCACAGTGATGACTATCGCGAACCTCTACTGGCTAAACACAGTCACGGACAGAGCGCATTAACGAAAACCTTAGAAATCAATGAGCACTGACTTTTAAATCTGAAAATATATGTTAATAAGTTTGCTGTTTGTTGTATCAGAAAATAACTACATCTGCTCTATACGGATCAACCTGAAGAAGAAAAGGTCCACAAACGATCTGAGGTAAATTTAACCTTTCAGACAGCAACGAAATCGAATCTGCACGTGGAAGGAGCCCATTCAGATAAAACAACAAACCCCACGAAGCATGAGAGAGCTGAATCCCATCGCTTATAGACACAGCCTTTGTGATTGAATGCTACAGGAATAATCAGTTATAATTTAGATTTTCTTTTCCTTCTGGAAACTAGCTTATAGTCTTTGAATATGCCACATTTTTTACATCAATTCAGCAAAAAACAAACCAAACTGATGCAAACCAATGGCGAAAAGGCAGGTTTATGAGGTTATGGTGTCCCTGGATTGTTTCAAAATGTAGGTTGACCATCTAATGCATTATTCTTTTCAGGCTTAATGGAGAAAATACTGTACAAACATTCAATATATAACTTCCTACTTCATGGCTTAGAATAAGGCATTTTTACTTGCATGACAGTAGGAAATGATGCATTGAATATTAAATAAATGAACCTTCCCCATGCTACTGCCTGTGAAATAGGTAAGACATGTGTGTGTGTGTGTGTGTGTGTGTGTGTGTGTGTGTGTGTGTGTGTTGTCCTCAGTCTGCAGAGGAGTTTGCTACGTGCTTTGTTTGGGGTCCACACCAGCCAACAAGTGATGCTCTCTGCCTCTCGTTAAGTCGATATGTTTGCCCTCATGCAAAACCCAATGTTCACTAACGCCATGCCATCAAATACATTTACAGCATCCCCCACCCCCCGAAATGAGCAGTGATGCCTGAAGTTGGCAATGCCCGGCACGTTTTTCCGTGGCACGTGTTTTTACATTACATAACGTGAACATGCCCTCCCAAAGGGCACAAGCTGTACAGAGCCCTGACATCAAGGCAAAATATCTCACAGCATCCCAACACCGGGAACCTACCAGCCTTAAACTGCACTTTTTAAAACACTCAATGTGTTACTATCACAGCGGGCCAACTGTTTGAAATATTGTGGGAAATTATTTTTTTTCTGTGTCACAGCATGTGTGCAGCTGACAATGGCAGGAAAAAAAAATATCCTTTTTTCTTTTTTAAACAGGCTACGGTCATAAGTAAGGTACCCGGGGTTCGATTACGCACAAATTACGCACACAATGTGCCACTGCAAATCTCAGATGAAGTGAATCCATCCATTCTCCCACTCCCGAGGAGGGGACATCTTGAACCGGTGGTGCCGCACTTTGTAGTTGTTCCCATTGTTATTGTCCCAGAACTCTTCCCCCTCGACACAGTATTTAATTGCAAACTGCAGCGTGCCTCCGTTGTCCAGGTAGGTGGGCATGACTATCTTGAAACAAAACTGATCGGTGACACCGTCGCTTGAATCGGGGACATAAGAGGCCAAACTGTCCATGAACGTGATCCAGTTGTTCAGAGAATAACGCAAAGAGACGCTCTTCTCGAAAGCCAGATTCAAGACGCGCACAAACCCGGAGAGGCTGAATTCATCCGCCTCGACGCTCTCCAGCATCACTTTCACCTCCCTGACTTTCTGCTCGAAGCCGGGCAGCGTGCCTGGGTTTGTAAACTGCAGCTCCATGAAGATAGACTGTGCAGGAGGCCGGGGGAACTTTGTGTCCAAATGGTTGAGGTGAAAGGTTCCTTTGGGTAATTTAGCCAAAATGCGCTCCGGCACTTCTGGCACATCTGTATCATCAAAGTGCTTCACTGAAATAAGCTCCAGGCCCAGAGAGTCGGCAAAGCGGACCTTTTTCTGACTGGTGGGACTCCTGCTGCGGGAGATCTCTAACTTTGCTCTCTCTGTGGGGGTCGGCAGAGACTTGCACCTCCTGCGCAGATTGGGGCTCTGTGGGGGCTTGAGGAAAATCTCTCTGCCCCGGGGTCTCTCGTCCACCACGGGGTTCTCGGTGGTCTCGCACGTACCGTTCATCATGTCAAACTCTTCCCCATCTTCCAGCCTCGGGTTCGCCGCCGCCAGGCTCCCGAACAGCCCCGCTATGCAGCTGTAGTTCCTCGGCAGGCAGTTCTTGGGGGGCAGCATGACCACGGCGGGTTGCACAGGCTCCGCTTCCATAAAACGCAACAGTCGCTGCACTGCAGAGCCGGAGTGGTCGTGATGAGGAGCCGACCGGCGGGGTGAGCAGACGGAGCGGTCAGGTGTCAGTGTCCCTGCCGCGGATAGGTGCTCCGGCTGCGTCACACGCTGACACTCGGCAGCTGTGGACCAATAAACCAAGCTGTTGTTGTTCGGCAATAAAGTGAGAGTTTGCATCTGCAGAAGGCTCACTTTAGATTTTATTGCATAAAGTGCATGCAGTAGAATCTAGTGTGTCCTCACTGTAAAATCAAACTAAAAAAAAGGAAGACAAAGAGAGTACCTTCCTCGCTTGTTTCCATCGCGGCGTGCAGGACTTGCGCTGCGGGTCTTCTCGCGGCTCACTTGCATGTGCTTACGTGCAGAAGTGAACGTTCCTACATGACAAAATGGTTTCCTCCTCCACAGTCCACAAACCAGTTGACTTCCTTTTTTGTTTCTCTGCACTGTGTTATTATCATACAGGACACCCAGAGTTCACATGAAGCAAGTGCGCTTTTAAGAACAATATAAAAGCATTTAGTGTGTTTTTTTTGTGTGTGTGATGCTGGAAAGCCGTGTGATGCTCTTTTCCTTTTTACTGTGTTCCCTCTAATTGCTGTGTGAGTCCTGGGATTACGCTGGGCACCGTGTGAACTGTTACATAACTCACATATAGCATAAAGCCATGTGGAGCCTGCAGCGCCAGGCCACGCCCCCTTACACTACCACGCCCCCCTACCATGTCGCGTCACAGCTTCCGCTTGCAGCCTTTCCGGGTTACCATGACGACGGCGTTGCAGCTCGTCTCTGAAGGCATTTTAACGCTTCCTCCACCGCTGCAGCAGAAAACTGTCAACCAGATAAAAAGACGACCAGTTAGTTTGTTTTTGTTGTGTGTGTGTGTGTGAATGCTGATTTCTGATATGGGAATATTAATGCAAAGCTGCTTAAAATGCAACAGGGATCCAGCTTGCTTTATTCTGGTGAGTGATTCTTAGTTGTTGTTTTTTGTTGTTTCTCACGCTTAAAGCAAAAAAGGTTGTGTTTAACTCTCATACATATTACAGGTAATATATTCCATGAGGATCTGACTGCATCATGGAGTCTTTGAAACAAGAAGGTGTAAATGGAGCAAACAGGGACTTTTCAGCGCAGGAGGACACAGCTGAGGAGGAACCTCACAGGACAGCAGAGAGGAGACATGTTGATTCCCTTCTAGATGTTAGCGAGGAGGGCTTCGAGAAAGAACTGGAGCCACACGAGTATCATTGTTACTCTGGTTGGGAAGAAGCTGTGAGTAAATGAATATCTTCTTACTGCAACTCTGTTTAATTAATGTTGCCTTTATGCAGGTTTTAGCAGTTGCACACGATGATCTTGAATAAGTCTCCTCGATATCACATTTTAAAAACAGTTGGAAAGTTATATAATTTATAGATACATGGTAAATTAACCTCTTAAGACCTGGCGTCTACATGAGTGGACATCACATTTTGGATTATATTACCACAGTATTATTATTATTATTATTGTTGTTATTATTGTTATTGTTATTATTATTATTATATTTTATTTTTATTTTTTCTACAAAATATTTTTTATATTTTTTTAACATTTATTTTTACTTTCTTTATATTTTTTATTTCTCTTTGCTATTTGATCGGATTAAATAGTAAAGAGAATTTTTTTAAAAAAAAGCATATCAAACAAGAGCTCAGGTCTTAAGAGGTTAAAGGAAAAAAACCTGAACTGTTGGGGGCTCTATTATGCTGTGGGGGGTATTTTTTGAGCATTTTTTAAGTCCACTTGTGCAAACACAGGAAAACAACATAAGAAATGCTTTAAGTGATCAACTTTATTCTATTATGAACCATTCCTATCCAGATAGAATGATCTCTTAATGAACTACAACACCCCCACATTTATAAAGCACAATATTTTGAGCATGACAGGTGATGTGAATCATATGCTACAGCCTGATCACCAGATCTCAACTGAACACCTGTTGGAGGTTTTGAACCAATGTGACGGTATAGCTTCTGGAGGAAATGTGCTCCATCCCTCGATTAAATTTTTAATGACTTGGAGAATCGATGCCGAGGTGTATTGAAGTTGTTCTGGCGGCTTGTGGTGGCCTAACACCTTACTAAGACACTTCAAGTTGGTTTTCTTTTAATTTGTCACACATCTGTACATTTTCATAAATGTGTACATCAATGTTTCAGATAATAGTGTTGGATTTACCTATACTGCTACCAATACAGCAGCAAAAGCAGAAGTTGGAGAGGAAACTAAAAATGGCTCCGTTCCATTAAATGACCTAACAATCTTTTCTGGTGTTTACATTGGACCTGACTTTCCTTCATTACTGTTATTTATCACACCTTTACTTTACCTGCTTCAACAAGCTTGGTCTACTTACACGATTCTCACTTGGCATCATGCATAATTCACTCTCTGTGTTTTTGTTTTCAACATATTAAAACTGTTTCTAACATTCTGTTCTGTTTGGTTGCAACAGGTCTGGGGTTGGGCCCGAGTTGCTCCACTGAGCTGCATACTGTTGACCCAGAAGAGATACAGGAAACCAAAGCAGAAGGAGGCTGACAATCCGACCCCTTTGTTTGCTGACCCAACCCCCTCTAATGCTGACAGCTCCTCCAGCATCGCAGGCCTGCATAGCTTAAAGAAATTAAACCAGCAGACAGGATTTTGGAGTCCAACGATGGTGACAGCTCAGCTGCCAGATGCTACAAAATGGCCTGTTCTCAATGTCATGCAGAGGCACGCGGCACATCTCTTCCTCGAGGAAACGATAGCGGAGGAAGGGACTCCTCTGCAGCCTCGCCATCTGCCTTCGAAATATTCTGTTTCAGAGAACACACACACGAAGGCTCAGAAACACAGCCACAGGCCCAACAACACAGTGGTTCCCATTAGAAACTTCACATTTTTACCGCCTATCAAAGCACCGCATCTGAACCCCAGAGTCTACGGCCATCTCTGCAGACCCAAGAAGGCTGCAGAAGGAGAGACCTCAGAGGAAAGCTGTTTCGTGTTGGACAAGAAGAGCGGAACGAGAAGAGCGGACGCCGCTGCTACCTCAGACCTTCCCGTTTACTCTGCAGCCCTGACCTCCAAGCACCAGACATGTCAGCATAACCCTCAGTTCCTCTCTGCTGTGAGTGTTTCTGTCCCCAAGAGGTATCAAGTGCCTGCGTCTCCCAAACCTGACACAGTGCACCGCGCAAGCTACTCAATGAGCAAGAGCCTGTCACGAGCAATCGCACAACCTCACATGCACCCCAGCTGCCTGTTCTCTTGAGGAACAGAACGGCGTGTGCTGTCGAGCGCTATGAGACCTCTGGGGGGGGGCAGATGATGACATTAAAATGTGCAATAATTAGAAATTCTCAGGTTCAGCCATGAGAAAATGACTCATATTTTATTTAACATACTCACTCCATTGTAACTTCATCAAAATAGCCACTTGTAGAATACTTCTAATATGTGGCATGTTAATAAAATAGCAAACTAGGTCGGTCAAATGAACAAAGTATTGAAACGCTAACCTGTATATTGATCATTGTTTTATTTTGACCACTTCTTTCAAGTGCTTTTGCAGCTGCTGTTACCTAGCAACGACCCCGCGATAAGCCCGGCCGTGGGTCTGCCGTGCTTTTTTAAATTCCACTACAAAACCCAGCTCTGTCAGAACAACTTCACTGTGCCTATACATGACATAAACACTGGCCAAACTGCTGCATCTGCTCGATATGATCTCACTCTCATATCAGTCAGGAAGTGATTGTTGGTGATTGTGGATGGGGGGTCTGAGTTTTGCATTGCTTAAGTATTATCAAAACAGTATTATGCAGAGATCTGTAAATACACTGTGACAAACCAGTTGCTGCAATCCTGTTTAAACTGGGATACTGTTGTTGCTTTCTTCTACTACTGCTGTTGTTTAGCTATTCTGTCAAGGCTACAGTGTTAACATACCAGACATTGGTCTTACCTGAATGTTGGTGTAAAATAAAAGGATTCAGTCAGTAGGATGCAACTGTGCATTAATGTGAAAAGAGGAAACAACATTATACAGATATGCATTGTTCTATAATTAAAAGAAAAAAAAAAAAAGCACAAAAATAAAAAAGGGTTCCACTACCAACGCATTGAAAACGTCCTTTTACTTGAATACCTTACTTGTTTGTTTGCTTTTCTTTTCATTAAATGCAGTGTTTTTTCTTTTACTTATTGCTATTGAACAAGTGACAAGCAACACAATTTACTCTTTCCAGCAGTTTATTAACAACATCTGTAGTGTAGCTACAACAATTAATCAAGGCAACCATTACCTCTACACATATAGGCAACAGAAACTCATATTCTGCAAGAAACAAATATTTTTGTGCTGGAAAAAAATATCTGCATGCATTCCCCACGGGGAGAAAATAAAGCACTGTAACTGACACTGGAGACCGAACAACGTTTCTACACATACTTCTGTTTAAAGCAAAGCGCTTCCCCGCTCCGCTAAACCACCGGGGAGCAGCGATGCTATATCAAGAATCACAAACTAGAAGTACTCGAATAAAAAAAGAAATGTTGAAATTGAACGTGTCAAAAAAAACCTTTTGAACACCCAATCATCCTCAAACAAGTTGGATGTGGTGCCAAAGAAATTCGAGCATGTTATAGTCGGGCACAGTGTCATGTTCTGTACATTCTTCAGTTTCCACAAACATCTATAAACCGTAACAGCATCGACCACCTGTCCATAAAAGTAGTGAGATGGAATCGAAATCGTTCTCTCCAATAAACTGATGCATAGCAATATTTTCATGTGACAGAATAAAGGTTTAAAACAGAAAATATATATATGGAGAATGAACGGGGACATTCCAGTATTTCATGCAACCGCGGTGAAAACACCGATACAGAACGGATTCAACATGCAGAGACTGAAAGGATTCGGACAGTTATTCAGTGTGTGTTAATTGATCCAAAACATATTCTAATATAAATATGATCGTTACTTTAAAGCAGCAAATTAACTGTAACAGAACTCAAGTTAATACTTGGGTTAAGGCACCGGCGTAATAACGTGAACAAATAAAAGAAGGCCCATAGCTCCGTGTTCCCGAGGAGAACACTCTGCGGTGCCATTGAGGTAAACGAGTCCAACAAATGAAAACCTAACGGAAAAAAAACACAATCAAAATGTTAAATATAGCCACTTGAAGAAGAGAGAGAGAGAAAAAAGGAAAATTAATATGCTGTGCCCAAATATTAAGTTTTAAAAATCTGATATTCAACAGGACAACTCCTTTCAGTCAAAATAGGTTTGTGAATACATACAATAACTCTGTGGTAATCCTAGATCTAATTCACTGTTTCTGTACAGCAACGTTACTGGGACAGAGCACTGCTACTGTATACACTTACACCCAGCTAATGAATAAGTCAAAGACGATGACAGCCTCGCCTGCTTACTGACTCGAACCGACTGCTTGGCTATAGAAGCCCAGACACAAGAAAGTGTTTACACGACATCAGACTTCACAATCACATTTCAATGAAAGGTGTGCAACATGAGACAAACATAAACATTTCTTTTTTTCTTTTTTAAACTTGTGCCACGTCTGTATGGGTAACGGTATATTTCAGAGATACATCTTAACAGCTTCGAGAAATGCCTTGTTTACCGTTGGAAGGCTTTATGGGGTTTTATTTTGAAAAACCAAGCTGGTTCTCTGGTCATGTCTGCCATCGGCTGCAGAGATGCAGGATGCGTTTCAGAGTTTATAATCTTGTTGACGCTGACAAGGTAACGTTAAAGAGGCAGCCATCAGACGCACAAGCACACAATTGATATTTGATGTTTTTGTGCTGCTGACCACGAGAAGGCTTCATGCACATTTCAGAAATACACAAACCAAAAGTACAATATTTTATACTGTACAGTCCAGATGCGATTGTTTTAAATGCAGTATTTGAAAGCTGTCATACGGGTTAACAATTTTACAAGCCTTTCCATGACAGCCGCATACAGCTAAAGATGTCATCCCTTTCAGGTGCAGATCTAACATTTATGAAATGTTGTCATTTTTAAACTGCGAGTAAGACCAAACAGTGGAAACCAGTCACAGTGGTTATACACTGGAATATACAAGTAAACTGGCATTTCAGACAAGACATGTCCAATGTTACTTTATGTGCAAATAAATATGTAAACTGTCACAGGAGATGATAAATCATGCCCGCTGAGCTAATAAAGTGCAGCCAAGCTGTCAGGATATATACCTGGAAAGGCTCTGGACATGATGCCCCCAGTGGAATGGTCAAAACATTGTCGCAGACTTCTTACTGCTAAGACTATGGTCCGCCGGAGGACAGCATAGCTGATTCATTCCTCCTATAGGTAGAGGCAGATATCAGAAACCTGTACTGCAAAGGCTTAGGAAGCTGCGCTAAGAGGGCTTCAACTGTTGGGTTTCTCTGGCTGCTGAAATAGAGCACAGAGCTCCTCACATGTCTGGGTTTCCACAGAGCTGAAATGAGACTCCATATTCCACGCCAGGTCTGCTGACAAGAAGTCATCCATGACAGTTTGTGTTTCGTTGCTGGTCAGGAAGAGGTGTCCGAGACCTTCCGCCTGGCTGGTCACAGTCTGCGTCTCTGTGCTGTTCAGTAGCCTTGCATGCTCACCCTGACTGACGGGGGTCTGAGCGGAGAGACCCGTGGCAAATGAAGGGAGATCGGTCTGCGTTTCTGTATCCGAGGACTCTGTGCTCATAGAAAAGCTCGAATGTCGTAGGATGCTGCTCAACGGCATGTGGCTTCCGGCGTTCAGCAGGAAATTGAGGTCAGTCTGAGTCTGAGTGTCAAATAGCTCCAGGTCGCTGGCTTGGGTTCGACTTGGTCCTTCACTTTGGTCCAGTTCATCCATCAGGAGAAAGTCTGTCTGAGTCTGAATGTCCAGAGATTCCAGCGGCGTGTCGCCACCCAGTCCTCCGAGTTCACTCTCCTCTGTCTGCGTCTGGATGTGCACAGCGCTGAGGAACTCTTCGAAATCAAAATCTATGCCGTTGTGTTGCTCCTGAACAGAGCCCAGACCTGACCCACAGCCTGCCGAGGCCTCTGTGAGCACCTGGTGGCCTGACATGCTGTCAGACAGAATGTTTTCTAGGTCATTTAACAAGGTCATTGTTTGGGTCTGGTTGTCCGCCATGTTGTTTGTGTTGAGTTCATGTGTCTGCACCCCAAAGCACATACTCCCTGCTGACTTTGAGTCCTCGTATATGCTGCCACCTGCAGCACTGAGGGTGTCATCTATGTCCAGAGCGGTCTGTGTGGAGACACTGAGGGAGTCGTTGCCAAATAGGTCAGAGCACATGATGGCCTGGTCCTGAGCCTTCTCCTCTGATTGTGGCATGGCAAAGTATGTCTGTGTCTGCCTGGTTTTGAACGGGAGCACAGATGAAGAGGAGCAAGGAATCTGGTTCAGGCACTGGCTGTCTGTCTGAGCTCCGATAGAAGACGTGGCTTTGGCTCGGGAGAAGAACGTCTGGGTTTCGACGCTGACTGGCAGGAGGACTTGGGCACTAACACTGATGTCTGTCTGGGAGCACGATGACACTGAGGACTCACCCATAGAGCACAAGCCTATTCCCTCCCCAACCCCCACCCCGGTGGGCATTTTTGACAAGTATGATTTGTCCGTCTGAATATTGGTGGAGGTGCTCCTCCCTCGCTGTCCCACCATGCCGCTGGCTGCGTCCTCCGCTCCTGCAGGATCCAGACTGACCTGCACCCCCGTGCTAATGGGCCCCAGGCTTGAGCGGGAAGTAGGCATGCTATCCTTGAAACCCAAACTTTTAGCATCAAGCTGGGGCACCACTGCTCCCGTGGCTTGTGGCAGGAGCTGGAGGGTGCTGACTGAGCCTTGGCTGTCTACTGCAAGAACTACAGACCTCAGTGCCCCACTTTCTGTAGATGGAAGAAGGACAGGCAGATGGGCCAGCTGCATCACAGGAACACTGACCAAAGCCATCTTGGGCTTTGGTAGGAGCAACTTTGGAAGGCTCCTACGGGTGCTGGAGTTCTGATTCACCGAGTCTTGGATATAAACAGTTGTATCAGAAGGTAGAGCAGTCTCTGTCAGCTCTTTAGTAGCGGGCATGATCGGAAAGGTTGAATCATTGGTCCTAACCTTTTCAGAACCACTTAACAGTTTCTCCATCTTTCGCTTTTTGACAGGGGGAATTCTGCACAGAAACACAACAGACAGAGAAAGAAAAAAAGTCAAAAACATGTTTTGACATCAGCAAGATTTCTATTAAACTCTATTTGGGCCGTGCACGTGCATACCTGTGTTCTGTAGGAATCTCATGACCTGTCCTGTAGATGTGTGAGAGTAGAGCAGCTCTGCTCGCATAGGGGCAGCCACATGTACAGTGGTAGGTCTTCCCGCAGTCTTCTATGTGCCTCTTCAGGTCCCATTCTGTGCTGTAGCCGTTGTTGCACTTGGAGCACTTATGCTTCTTCTCTGCATGCATCTTCATGAAGTGCTATAATGAACGAGAACAAAGGGCAAATATTACACTGCACACAACAGCATAGGTTCTTAAAATAGGGTCATTACCAGCCAGAAGAATGTAGAGTTTTTAAATAACAACACAAAATGAATATGTACACAGGGCTCCAAGACCTAAAAGAAAAGCGACAGGAGCCTTTTTTTTGTCCAGTGACTCATACACAATTACAGTTCGGTGTATAATTTAGAGAAAAATGAGACATGAGGGCAGTTTTCGCTCAGTGTGCAGAGACCAGAGAAGAAATGCTGCTAATGGTGGCAGGGAAACAATACACAGCGTTTACAGAACTTTGAAAATCTTGTACTACACTCTCCTCTCATTAACCAATGGTATCATTTCAAGAGGCTTTGACTCACACAGGACATGTAGGATGTAAAACTTTGAAGCTGTCACAAAATATGTGTTGCGAGTTTGTCACACCAAAGAAAAACTATTATCGACCCAGGCAGACTGGAACAAAGAAAAATCAGCAAATACGTAAAATTAGATTTTGAAATCGCAAATAAAAAATGTGCAACATTCTCCCCTACGCTAGGGGCATGTCCACAGAAGGCACTGACAGAGTTCACCAAACCAGCTTCACCATTGTGAGCATTTATACTGGTGTGTCTGTGTCACTGCTAAATGCTAGTAGCGGTGGTGTGTCTGTACCGCTGGGCTGAGTGTCTTTGTGTATTCTTAAATAACTGCGGCTGAACCAAATCAGATCATCTTGCAGTTACAGCAAATAAATGTTAAACAACAGTTACTGATACCAAAAATACTGCAACACACAAAAAAGAAGGAAATCACAGTGTCTGCACACGGACTGGTAAATCTGTGAAAATGACAATACGGCATATGGCTACACTCACACAAGCTAGACAAAACTACAGCCAATTACATAAACACAGCCGACTAGTAAAATGCTGTACCAATCGGGTCAATCACAGTCGTTTCAGTATGTGATGCCATGGTGTGTAGCTAACTTTCTGGGGAGGTGTGCAGCTACGTCATATCTATAGCGTACCAAAGGTGTAGTGAAATCACCAATGCGTTCTGTAAATAAGAAATATTTTTGTGACTGTGACCTAAGTTACCTACTACAATAAACTAAGCACACACGGTAGCTTACACTCATTGGTGGGATGCCCCGCTCACAACGACTAATGGTAGATGTCAGCACATGTGAAGGGTGATGGTCAGTTCAGCCCCTTTTGCCAGTAAAAGCAAATGATCCATGAATCCCACTTGTCTGAAGTAAAAGTTTGTAAAACAACCAGTGCAAAATGGTCAGCTCTCAGCTCTCCATCAATGTAGGTCTTCACAAAATTAACCCACATCTGCTTATAAGTAGACGGCCTGTTGGGAATATTCTGTCATGCAGTGATGATGCATTTTGCCAGACACAGGCAGACAGTTAGCAAACTGTAGTCTGTAATCGGTGTGGTGACTCGTGATCAAGTCGGAGAGCCGCTGATGCCACTGCATCTAGTTTTTATTTAAACATTTAAAAAGATCAGGGGAAGAGTTCGTGCAAAGTTTGCCATGCTGTCCAAAAAATCCCGACACAAAAACAATAAAAAAAACAAACAATAATGGTCTTGTGACACAGTTCAGCACTACATAGTTCACCATTTTGACTTGTAGTTTTAACAAATCCGAAAAATTAAAGCATATAAAAGGAAAAAGAAGATTCTTTTGTGTCTTTTCTCCAAAGGGTGCTGCCATCTTGGCGTACTACAACTGGTGACGTCACAGGATGTGGTAGCTTCGCAGGTCTAGAGACAAGACAGTGGAAGACAGATCATGGACAGTAGAAAGATGGAGACTGAGGAGCCACAGATCAGAAGACAAACATGAAGCCACTACTGCATTGCTCCTGCATATAAGAATGAGCTTTACAGAGTTAGAGCCATGGGCAAAACAGTTTACCATCATAAACTGCTGCTGAAATGGAGAACAGCACTGATGCTCTGCCAGCAGCATTGAAGAGGAAGCGCCTCCGATGGGCTCTGACTCCAGGATTTGTAGTGAACACTTTCTGGAGGAAGATTACACTGAGGAGAAGGTGGTGGATCTAGATGTTCACCGGACCAACAGACTGAAGCCTGACGCTGTCCCATCAGTA